TGTGTGCCTGTGGTGATTAACAACCCCGTCCGATGTCCCATCCGCAGACCTTTACAAGTGAATTACTCCTTTAGATGTGTGCCAGCCTCAACGTCCTCGGCCGCTGCACCTAGGACAGTCGTAGTGGGCGGAGCGAGAGTGATGGGTGTATGTTACGGCTCCAGACACTGCTTGACCGGTCGCGGTTTGATGAATTCGCAAGTAAACTGGAGCCTCGGGTAATAAGCAGTCTCATCTACGAGCATTTCAGGTAACGAGCGAGCCACCAGCAGAAAATTTGTTTCGATTTACGAGCTTCCGCTCAGTTATGGAGTTTTCAGTGCGTGTGTGTGTGTACTTGTGTCTGCCGTTGAGCCTTGCTCCTAGGGCGCAGGATCCTCGGTCATCTGCAGCCAATCAGTGAACTAATGCAGTTTGAACGGCTACGTTTCGCAAGACGAGTGTTTCACATGATGAATTCGACGCCAGCGGAATGGATTAAACACGTTAACCGAGGTTTCACTGTAATTGATTGGGTCAATGTTTGATTCAGCGGTTCAGATGTGAGGAGAGTTTGGAACTGCGTCCACGTTGCAGTGATGGTACTAACTGACAGGAAATAATGACTGCGATGCCGGTGGTGTTAGAAGCCGAAGATTGTAGTGTGTAGAATGGAGTGGGTTGTGGTGAAATTACCGCGGGTCCGAGAGTGTTTGATGGGGCTGATACCTACCCTGAGAGCGGACATGTTGGCAGGCGGTGCACGCTGGCAATCTTACTACGCAAGATGCGAATTCTGAAAACGTAGGCTTTGGCCTTTACCAGCTTATACTTGTACTTGATACAGTTGTGATCATGCCTGATCCAGCCGGCCTTAACGAGCTTACGGAGGGTACCTGTGCATGCGTGACGATTGGCGACAGAGGATCTGGAAAGCCCCACCCATTCTTTTCTTTAGCGACGGAGACCGAAAATCGAAGGTCCAAGAACCACTTCCATGGTTTAACTAACAGTGTCGTGCCAAGCCTTGACTTGCCCACCTTTTGGACGCCTCCAGGTGGACTGCGGCGCCGGATCAAGGGCAGCATAACAAAGATCGTGAGGCCGAAGGCGGCAAATGTACACAAATTAACTCAGTCATCTTTCTTTGATGGCCTGATATATCTTCGCGATACTGTGGCGGCGAGTGCGAACTGTCTCATTTGAGACAAGGTCAGTACATTTCACTCGAAGGATGGTTCTTAAGCAGCGATGGTCAAATACTTTCAGTCTTCGCTCATCTTTGGCCCATGGAGAAAGACCGACAGGACGGATGCACGGTACACACACAGCTTCGCAGCGATGGGGATGTGGCGTCAGATCCACAGGCGCTTTCGGAGGGTTGAGAAAACCCGCCGAGCACCATCGATTCGGGAAACAATTTCTTCCTTAATCTGTCCATGTTCGCCTTTGTCAGCACCGAATACAGCTGGCAGTAGGACAGTATGGAACGTCTGGCGTTTCTGTACGAAGTCTTCGCCAATCCCAGAGTTGATTTGCAGGCGCTTCAGCGTCTCACCATTACATCAATTTGTACTCCTTCTGTGTTATCAGCCTAACGACATTGGCGTAAGACTTGCTTGCCTTAAAGTAATGCATATACTGAGAACAGTGGTTCCTTCCACGACCCCTTATATGGCATTCTTTTCTGCAAGTTTGGGGGACGTACCCAGATAGTTCGCGTGGAAGTAACCAAGTATAAGTATTTCGCATTCACATATTCCGCACTCTTGCGGATCGGATGTCGCAAATGATGACGGTCACCGCTGCCTTACAAGACGGATGCAGCATTGATGAATTACGCGCAAACCTGCTTAACGTGGATCGGACTTGCGTTGGATCTATTTCACATTTTTTCCCAACATCCCGCGCTCAGAGGGAAGGACGAAGTCAAGACAGCTGGGTGTGGATGCGGGCGCCAGCAAATCTGAACAACCCATCTACGCTGGCCATACACGACCTGGTCCCTACTACAAATGTAGAAGCTTCGTTTAAAGGGGAGTTTTGGACCCCCCATCAGCAGAATGCTATCAAGACCGCATTAAGCAGTCATTGGAACATGACTGCCAGTCCTCAGAAGGTACAAGTTAATTTGTCAGGCGACAAACTACCAAACCACGACTTTCAGTGCTGTAATAGATTAGGACGCAACAAAGTTATTATGCTAATCTGCTAAGTTCCATGCACCCCATGCACCAGTGGCTTGTCTGAGAGGAACCGATTGGTTGACAAATTTAACCAGCTCGTCTGCCTGTACCCCACACGACATGGCTCTTGCTCAGTATGTTCCAAATTACATCAAATAGCATACAACGTTCCAGTCGTCCTATCGCCGCCTTCCCTACTGTTTCGCTTCTCGTATTCAACAAAATCTTTCCATGATAAATTAACAAAAAAATAGTAACAAATGGAACATCTTGGTTACAACTCCTGGCTGGTGTAAAGATCCGCTCATTAAGGTATTCCAGTGATGCTGCATTTTACTGCATTGACTTGGTGTCATTTTCATGCTCAAGGTATCGGTCGGGCGTACAAAAAATAACAACAAAACTTTGCTTAAAATTCTTACAAATGGTCGTTAGGGAGAACGTACTAATAGGGTCTCACGAGGTCGGCCGCGAAAGCTGAGGCACGAATTTATTTATTTCCTGAGGATTGACTACACTCTGACTGTAATACGTGCATCACTTCAGCTGGCGATTCAGTGGCCAAGAATATTACCTGGGCAGAGTGCACGGGGAGCTACCCTATGGGTTTAGGACATGGGTGCACCTCTAATGAACTTTTAGCTAAGTTGGTCATGATTATAAAAATAAAGCCCATACCAAATTTTTTGAAATTTATGGTAAGTTCCTTTACTTTGATACTAGCAGACTGATGGGCCATTTTCTCTGGGTGACCGTTAGATTGTCACAAAAAGATTACACACTCAACCCCTACTCAATTTTATTCTAAGATTTGAACTTTTATTTATGTGTGCGACAATGGTAATATTAGCGGCCTCTAAACAGTAACAACTTAAATTAAAATGCAGCTGTGTTTAGCATCGACTTCTGGAATTTGTGAGAACGGTTTGCCTCCCTTGCAGTTTAGTCTTTTATTTATCCACACGCTCAAGTTCAGAATAAGTTGTCATTGTTATATGAAAGTTGGAGGACTGATATGAAAGTGCATTAGGAGAAGATACAAAAATGTTACCGGTTTTAGATGGTGTTACGTCCGGCAAAAGCCCAACAAGCGATACAAACCATCAGCAATGAATAAGGGTCTGCATCTTATAGGAATCAAACTGAAAATTGCGAAGCATTTTAATACACTTAGGTGCCCTAAAGGACCTAAAAGGGCTACTGCGTGGCTTTCTATTTAATGTTCCCTGATCAGTTGCAACTGACTTATATTACTATACGGTCCCGGTTATGAAAATTCGAAAACGTACTTTAGTCCAATTTGACTTCTATATTTGTTTCCCACGAGATACGAAATCTTTTATGCGAAACGGGATGGCAGCGGCTCCAAAACATCCCCTTAAAATATGGCATAGGTCTTCTTTGGTCCAGACAAACGGTTTGTTTTTTGCTATCCATCCACATCAGAGGTGTTTAAAAATTAAATTGATTGCCAACCATTCATAAGAAGTAAGATTAAAAGTCTCCCTTCAGCATGGTAAATCAAGAAAGGTTAACGTAAATAGAAAAGTAAAGCGTTATGTTTTGTTGAGTCGACAGTGGCGTATATCTCGATTCCATAAATATGCTATGCCGTGAAATAGCCATTCCCAAACATTATCGTTTTTAATTGGTTGTGTAGATCTAGGACACCGCCGACGTTCCGGAATTTTTAGATCCACTTTCCCGATAATTGTGAAGCAGGACGAATGTCGAGTATCCCAATGAATCACAAACAAATTGATTTTAAAATTAGGTTTCTAAGAGTTCCGTACATAAACAATCTAACAGAAAATGTTGCAGCTAACGCAATGTGTCTGTCTCGAAAACAGTATCATCAAATTGATATCTCTAATAATGGATTTGTTTTCAGAAAATATAAAAGGGGTCTTCTCCGTACTTTTATGAGTAACTTGTGTAAAATATGTGTGATGGCTTTCCCACTTGAAAAACGAATCAAAAGCAAAATAATTGTATCATAGTATCTTAATTTTAGAGGCTTTAAGCTAAATAACTTATCTTATCTGAATAAATAAGACAGCGCATTAAACGCGTTAAACAAAATGAGCATGCTTTTAGGCCACACAAGCGAGTTGCAGAAACAATACTAGAAGCAGTAACAAAATGACATCATAAGAAGAACACTTTTGTTCCACTTGGACTACTTCCATGAATGTAAACTTCCTGGTTTCGAAGTGTATTAGATTAAAATATATAAATCTAATTCTTTGTAACACAATCCTGTGCAAAAGCTAATGTAAACAGACTGTCGAAAGTTACAGACTATATATTTTTTCAGATCTTGTGTATGTTTCTCATTTCAAAAGTGGTAGTGATCATAAATGCACGTCACTATGGGTTGGGCCCAGAATTCAAGAATTAGCACCAAAAAATTCACAGGGCAAGTGAGTGTGCAGTCCCGAGTATTAAGGAGCAGTCAGTCTATCTTTGAAATACTATCATGAAGATGTTATTTATTAATAGAAAGTTACCTGAATTAAAGAAATAGTTGACCCGCAAAAATTAATGCAGACGACACTGATATAGTATTTAATCCCACCGAAATATTTTAGTAGTTTTAGTATGAAAAAAGAATAAGAGAATTATGGTGACTGGCGCGGACGTAGTCCTCCATCAGGTGGGTGAAGAAATATATTCAAATGAAGGTGAATTAACTATAGACTGCAAGAATATGTTAGGTTGGGATATCTGAAGAAGTGCATTAAGCATGCTTTCCATTAAGTCTACAACACGGGTGGAAAAATGTAGCCGATTAAATTCAATATAGCAACGGAAAACTAAAGTTGTAAGAAGATCTTACCGGTAGTTTTCATGCATATTGACAGCATTTGCGCCTTCTCGGTAGCGGGCCACTACTTCGATGACACTGCCCTTCAGCTTTGGAAGATGTCGTTGAGATATGTCCCAAGCACCAAATGCACTGTTTAGCTGAAACTGTCTAAAATCAGCCTCCCTGGCGTCGGGTCCCAGTGAGCTTTCTTCGGACTCCCACGGCCAAACTACACGAAGGAATTCTATATACGTGTTGGCCGGAGCTTCACATCTTCAACAAAAGATAGGAAAGGCAATCTCATCTCATGTTAGAAGTAAATTCAAAGGTTCGTGTTTGATATTTCACAAAATTGGACTATTGAAAGCGGAGAATAAGTTGTTTTAAACTAACACAGGTGTGTGGTTTCGATATATTTACATAATTTATTTGAGCCAATTGCAAAAATCTTGGAAGTAATTGCAAAGGTGGTGTACAACAAGCGCTCCGGTGGTTAGAGTGTTGACTGTGCCTAAGCCTTACACAATTTTTTTAAACGAATGAGGCAGACGTATCAGTTTCAGGTAGATAATATGCATATATTTTGAAGCAAAGTTTTATATGGATACCTTTATTTAAAAACGTGCTGTTTACTCTCATTCACCAATATTTCGCGTAGATAAAGCACGAACATTTACAACTCTTAAATTCTCCCATGTGATCTGTCTGCCTACGATGTTAACTCTATTAAGTTGAGACGTACACAAAAAAATTTGAAAATTTTTTGAAAAACATGAACCGTTCATGATTATTTTTTATAGTGCGGAAATTCAAATACACTTTTGTGAAGGAGACTAACCGCAAAGTGAACTCTGCAATGTCTGCAAGCTGCTTAACTCGTACGGGAACATGGAAATATTCCCCATTTTTGAGTTTACGGGCAGGAATTTCTAGGAGCACGTTGCGACCAATTTCTCGATTTTCATCGGGTTGCAGCGGCTTTAAAATAATATTGGTTAAATATTTGAAGTCTGATAGTTGAGTCGCCAAGGGTGTCAGACATTGCCGGGAAACGACGGCAGATTCCATTGGTGCATTCATTGAAGAAGATCGTAGTAAGTGCACTGTATTTATCCTGTAACTGATTTCTAGTTCACTTCTTTGAGAATCGTTCCAAACACGGCTTTCGACTTGGATGGACGCATGGCAAGTGGACTCATTGGAGCTTGACCAATTGTCAATAAGGCAGCCCGTAAAAAAATGACGATTGCTGGCTGTAACTTTAATGACACAGCATGTACTGAAATGGTTGGTCAAGGTAGGTATAAAAGCCCGGGACTGATGTACGGAGTGGCAAAGAAAATGCAACATGGGATCATCCTCTCTTAGTTCCTTTTGAAATAAGTGTACTGTAGTTAACGGTCTGTTTTCGTAAACGTTCAAGTCTGCATCCATGGAGGTATTGACAACTAAATTTCCAACGTTGACCCTGAGGGAGACTCCATCAGTATTTCCAATTGTTATGAAATCCTGAGAATATATAGAAGACT